TGGTAAAGCCCCACCCCTCCTCGGTGACTGTGCTTATGCTAAGCCCCAGCCAGCATGCTCTTCCTGTCTTCCTGCCACCGAAACTCTGCTCATTCTTCAGAGTCTAATCTGGGCTCCACGGGCTCCTCGAAAGCCTCCTCAGCCAGTTCCAGCCCACGACCAACCGACCTGCCCTTTCTTTACTTCCCAAATGGGCACGGATTTCTTTACTTCCCAAATGGGCTCCCTTAGGTGTTAGTTTTATTAATTTATTACTTATATTGTATATGTATCAACATATACCTGCTCATTACTGTTCTTTGTAGTTGGATCATAAATCTAAGGAGAGGACATTATGTTATCAATTTACTGTATTCACCATAACACACTTGTGGGCATGTGGCAGATATTCGATAAATGTTCATTGAGGGACACGATTAAAATTTATAAGAATATGAGGGTATAAAAGAGTACACAGGGACTTAAGACACAAAAATGCCAGAAAACAGAGGAATACCTTTAGGTTTAGAACTTCTTAGTGATCGTCCTCTGTTTTCTAACCTATCCGCTGCTCTTCCAGCGGCTGTCTTTTGGGTCCCTTTCTCCCCAGTGGCATCTGGGCTGCCATCCGGATGTAACTTCTGAGCCTTGACATTCAACCTGGCGACATTCAGCATCTTCAAGGAACGGCACATGGTGTTCATCTTCTGCCTCACTGGAGTACGGGGGACACCTCCTAACACAGCATCATGGGAAGGAAGTAAAATAACTTTTACTCCTATGGAATTGAGAACTGCTTTAGTTACAAAAATTGAACAGAAAAAGCTATTTTTAATTCAGATTGGATATTCGGTCGAAGAATAATGAAATGAAGAAGATCCCCTCAGAACGATCGGAGCGGGATAGTCCTCGCGTCTCCATCCAGCCACAGCAGGGCAGAAAGACAGCTCTTCTTTTAGCTGAAGTTTGGGAACCAAACATCTCAATGTGAACGGGTGGTTTTTACACGGGGAAATAAATGCCAAACGAACGGATGTTGGTGCTCCCAAGGGTCACAGAGTTAGCTGCACCCAGAGCTACTCGTCCCATTTTCTCTTTTTAAATTTTAATTTATTTATTTTTACTTTCCTCACATTTAGATGCGGTGACTTTTCCTGGAAGTTTATGCTAAGGAAATCACTGAAGAATAAATCGTATGCACGACGCACGCCACAGTATTATTTATAATGATAAAAACAATAATCAGAATGTTCAACAACGTAAGAATTTTGTAAATTTTGTTATGTAATGAGGTGGAACAGTAACTGAAAAGGCAAAGTAACAGATGAACAAATATTTGTAAGCAGCGCACAAAATTGTATTTAAATTTCTGTTATGACTAAAAATTAAAATGGTGTATTCATCAAGAAGGTAGGATTGTGGCTTTTAAATTTTTTAATTACTATCGTGGCTTTTAAATTTTTTAATTACTAAATTTTAATTTAATTATTAAATTTTAATTTAATTATTAAATTTGAAATTTAATAACTTGTCCTTCTATACTCAGTTACCGTTTCAACTTCATTTTAGGGAATGTCCATCTTTTAAAACACACGGTCTCAAAAAAGACCCTTTCTACATGCATACGTTTCTTTTTGCCATCTTCCTGGTTAGACGCCGCGGATTCCTCACGGGACTTTCTCAGGTAGAGCTCGGAGAGGCAACGTGTTAATTCACTTTCAGTCTTGGAAGGCTCTTCCTTGTGAGATAAGGCAGCCTGTAGTAACCTGTGAACAAGTCAAGATGTTTAGTATAAAGCTGAAATCTTGATTTTCCAAAATGCTCTAAAGACAAAATGACAATAACAAAATTCATTATCCTTTTAAAAGCTAATCAGATATCCCCACGAGATGCCTTCATAAATACACTTTCTCAGGAGAGGAAAGGTCCCTTTTCTCGTTTATAATTGAAATAAACTCAGGGGCAGAAGCTACCTGTTCACAAAGCCAGGAATCATTACATACGATATCAACTTTTAGTCATAAGGTTCTTCATGTCCTATGGTACATGTCTAATTAGAGCATCGATTTCACTTCTGGGCTTCCATAGTTATTTTTTATTCAGTGTCCATACATTGAAATACAAGAAGATATAATACAGTAAAAGTGTCACAATGACTTCTGAATAGTTCTCTCGCACTGCAGTAAACTGCTTTGGGATTGAGACAAGGAGGAAGTGGGGCGGGGGGACGAGTGGTTATTAAACGCCCTTCCACCTAGAGCTATTATTCACTAAGGAAATTACAAAAATGGCACAATATTACAAATGTATTATTTGTATTTCGCTATCTTGCATTACCTACTATCATCTGATTTATAAGTAGGAGAAAGTTATGGTACCAGTAGTTGAATCTGCTGGGGCTACCAGCTTTTTTCCTGTCGATTTTTTTAAGCTTTCAACATTTCGAATATACAGAAAGATAGAGAAAGCATTATGAAATGATAAGTATGTACCTCCTTCCAAGATTAAATACTTGTTAAGTTTTCCCTATCTGCTTCAGATCTTTTATTTATAGACATACATATGGATCAAAAACGACAAAAACTGCTTTTCTATATTGTAAATTTTCAAAAGAAATTATAACACCATCCTCTTGCAATTTTTGTTTGTACACAATCTACTTTTCATGTGTATAGAAGTATCTCTACTTTGTTCAGTTTTACTAATCTATGTATGTGTGTGTGTGTGTGTGTGTGTGTATTCTGTTGTATAACTATGCCACACTTTATCCATTTTCCTGCTAAGGGTCAGCTGGTTCTTCGCACTTTTTCACTTTTAATGACTGGCAATGAACATTCTGGTTTAGCTCTCCTTGTTTTTGCACAAAAATTTCTTTAACGTAGACGCCTGGAAGTGGAATTGTTGGGTGTCAGAGTATGTGCATTTCTGCTTTACTAGAAATACAAACGGTTGTAACCGTTTTATTTCTATCATCTAAAGTATTCTCATTTCCCTTCGTGCCGCTAGCAGATTTACCAAATTTTGACTAATGGGTATAAAATAGAATCTTGTGGCTTTTTTCTTACTGTGGTTTTAATTTCCATTTGCCTAAGCTGAATATCTTTCCAAATTACTGCTCTGCTGAGTATCCTCTTATGAATTGCTTATTTGTATTCTTTTCCCAATTTTCTATTGGATTGCTTGTCTTTTTCTTACTAATTTTTAGGATCTCTGTGCTTATTTGAATACTCATCCTCTGTTGGTTATATAGCTTACAGCTACCCAAGTCTACGTACGCCTAATCTTTTTTATCATACCAAAATTTTTAAAATTATGGTCATATATTTTCCGTTATGCTTTGATTTTTTATGTCTTAGTTAAGAAATCCATCTCTAGCTTGGTTTTTCCCTTTTTACGATTTTAAAGTTTTACTTTTCACATTTGAATTTTCATTTTGCTAGGAATTTATCATGTGTATGCTGTGAAGCAGAAATCCAATTTTTTACCTTTTTTCTTCTGGATGGCCGATTCTCACATCACCAGTTGCTGAATACTCTAATTCTTTCCCTGATTTTTCAATGCTGCCTCTGTCGTACGCCAAGCTTTCCTTGCATGTGTGGATCACTTTCTGGGCCCTCTATTCTGTCCCACTGGTCTACGTCTCAATCCTTGCAACAACACCGCACCGCCTATTCACTAGAGCTTGAGGGTAAATTTTGATCTCATACGGGAAAGTGCACATGTGTAGTTCTTAGCCTTTTTGAGTTGAACCATGTTCACAAATCAAAAGACTCATTATTATTAAAATATCAAGTCTTCCCAAACTGATCTACAGACTCCATGCGCTCAGTCAAAAATTTTAGTGAAAATTAAGAGGCTGCTTCTAAAATTTTCATGAAAAGGCAAAGGGTCTAGAATAGCCAAAGCAATTCTGGGGGGCGGGGCAGGCGGAAGAACAAAGTTGAGAGAACTAGACTACCAGATTTCGACACTCAAGACAGTGTAGCATTAACATAATTCCTGGACTAGATGCTTTCCAGAAATAGACCTGAACGAACAATAGTGGTCACAGTAATTCAATGAGAAAAAGACTGTCTCAGAACAAAGGTGTTGTAACAACTGGATAAAAAACAAATCTCAACTTTACCTTAATAATATTTCGAATTTCTGCTCTATCTTTTACATTTCTAATAGTTTGTCTTTTAAAAAACTTGCTCAGTTTTGCTATAGATTTATTTGGTTTTTCAAAGATTCATCTTTTGTTTCTGTTGATTTCTATAGTTTGTTCACTATTTGATTTTTCTTGATATCTTTATTATCGCCTTCTTTTTTGGGGGGTTTATTCTCTTGTATTATTTTCTGTGTTGAATTCAGCTAATTGGTTTTTAATTTTTCTTCTTTAAAAGAAAAGAAATGTATTTAGGTCAATACATTTTCCTTTAAGTATAAATTTAGCTACATTATACATTTGCATTTTCATTTTAGAGATTTAATACTAAATATTTTCTCACATCCATAATGGAAGAGAGCATTTTATTACTGTAATTAATTTTTTTCCCATTTTTAATTGTGGTAAAATACACGTAACACAAATTTGTCACCCTCACCACTTTTAACTACATAATTCAGGGAAGTATATTCACAATGCTGGGCCGCCATCACCTCCATTCGTGTCTCCACGACTCTTCATATTGCAAAACTGAAACTCTAGACCCGTTAAACAATACTCTCCCTTTGTAATTAGTTTTTAATATTATTAGACTATATTCACACAATGTGGTCTGTTAAAAAAAAAAAACACATACTCAAATGACTCGAAGCTAATTTCAATGATCAAGGCCCAGATGAGTAAAAAGTTTTACCAAAATGACTCCATCAGATTTGAACTGGCGCCGCTGAGGGCAGAGCGCAGGAACCACCGCTCCAGCACAGCAGGGCTCCAGGGGGCGGTGCGGCCCAGCTCCTGCTGGGCCCACTCAGGAACCGGAGGCGCTGCAGGGCCTGGAGCGGAGATGGGGAGAGGCATGAGCACACGCCTGGAGAATCCAGCCCTGCCCCTCCCGCAGACAGACCACATTCCTCCCCAGGACACACAGAGAGGCACCTTGAGCCACATTCCTTCGTCTGCACTACCAGCTCCCACAGCCTATGTGTCGGTTTAAAACCTACTCCGAAGATGTACGAACACAGGCTTCCTCGCGGCTCCTCTGACACACCAGACACACGCCCGTCTCAGCGCCTTGGACTTGCTGTGGCCTCGATCGGGAATGTTCTCTCCCTACCTACTGCTTTTTTGCTCAATTATTACTTTTTCAGCAAGGCCTGTTTAGAATTGCAACCCTCTCCCCTCCCCAACGCTCCCCATTCCTTCTTTTTCCGTTTATCATTATAGCGCTCATCGCTCTCAAAGGTACTATATAATTTCCTTAGTTTACGGTCTCCTCTCCCCGACCAGATGGTAAATTCCATGAGAACAGAGATCGTTTTGTTTTGTTCTCTGTTGTATTCCCAATACCTAGAACAGTGCCCCGCACAGAGCGGGCGCTCACTAAATCTGTTGAATGAATGAATGAATAGCACATTAATTTTTATCTATCTAGCATAAATAAGGTTTGCTTATCAGTCACAATGCAAGGAACTGAAAGGTGGACAGAATCGTGAGTTTTACATCCAGTCTTTATTAAAATCCAGCTTTCAGGTTAAACCTTCGACTGCAAAGCGGATTCACAGAGCCTCTGGCCTCCTCCGAAGTGCCTCAGGATTACCATAAATAATGACTTCGACTGCCTGGAGTACGACAGTTTGCTTTTTTGTTTTATAACAGATATGGGGCTCTTCTAAGAGCAGTGACAAAATGCACTGATGCTGGAAAGGACTGTAAACCACTGCCTGGAGAGATTAGTTAATGGTTCAGAAGCTTACCAGAGGCGGTAGGGTCTTTCCGTAAACTGTGAATCTGATTCAGTACAACGTCCTTAACATCGAAACAAACGGAAGCCGTTTCCTGGGAGTTCTCTGTCACAACTGTTTGGAGAAAATGTCTTTGAAATTCAGCCTCCTCGCTGTGGAACAGGGTGAGAATTGTAGTGTTGGTAGAGAGGGGAGAAATAACTCCAGAGATGGGGGGCCAGCCTTCACCAGGGTCCACACTGGCAACCTACATAAGACGTTTAGTTAGTTGAGAATACTGTTAACATCCGCATAAAGAATGCAGCTTAGTAAAAGACAGAGTGGTACTTTCTCCTGAAGATGACTAATATAAAAATCATGGAAGAGACAGATTTGATGAGTTTAAGTGCTAGAATCGAACTTACTGACCATCTGTCTAATCCTAATCCCTCAATTTACGATTAAGAAAAACCTAAGGTAACCAAAAATATTTACTAAGCACTCATTATGTGCTTATTGTAACTCAACGAATCCCCACAACCACTTAGGTAAAAACAATCATCCTCCTCATTTTATAGGGGAGAACTAAGGCTGGGGAATAAGTACCCTCTTCAAGGCCGCCCAGTCAGTAAGAGGCAGAAGCCAAGCGTGTATGAATTCCAAACCCATGCTCTCGATCACGAGGCAGGACCACCACTGACGGATTTACTGGATCATACAGTGGACAGCAGGGCCGAGACCGGATCCAGATCGCCTGCCACCCCCCAGTGCTCTTTCTGTCAGAGCGCATAACTCAGAACACGTGCTCAGGTGACTACCCAGCTTTTCTCTGGAATGTGTCACGATGGGATCCATGAGACAGAAGCCTTCTGAGGTTACGAAGGCAAAAGACAAGGTAAGGTAAAAAAATGTGCTGGCAGTTTAAAATAACCATCACCTTTAAATCAAATCTGGTAGGTATGTATTTCTTTTCAGAAGGCATTTCTAAATTTGTGTAACTACTGGACATTACAAATTATAAATTTATAATAAATTATAAATTTATAAATTAGGCACAGTAAGAGAGTAACAACAATACCTAACAATAAAATAGAACAAATATGATACACTGTAATAAAAGTTATGCGAATGCATTCTCTCTTTCAAAACATCTTACTGTACCGTACTCACCTTTTCACTTAAAGGAAGCACTTTATGGCTTCCTTTTGGCATATCTGAATTGTCAGCATCACTAGCTTCGTATTTTGGGGCCATTATGAAGTAAAGTAAGGGTCACTTGAGCACGAGCACCATGATACCAAGACAGGAGATCTGATAACCTCAGCTGCTCAGTGACTAACTGGCGGGGAGAGCACAGTGTGTAGACGCTGGATAAAGAGACGACTCATGTCCCAGGCAGGACTTTGTGAGATTTCATCATGCTACTCAGGACAGCCTGCAATTTAAAACTTACGAATTGTTTATTTCTAGGATTTTCCATTTAATATTTTCGGACGGCAGTTGACTATGGGTAACCGAAACCATGGAAAGCAGAACCACAGATAAGGTGGGGGGACTGTCCCATCTCTTCACCATCCTGATACAATCATTCTATTTGGTTCGCTGCCTTTTTTCTTATATGAATACAATTTAACCTAATTGGATTCAAGGCAATTGCAATTTTACAAACTGTTTCTTCACTAATAAATACTGTCATGATGCAATAATGTGGACAATATTATTTGCAAAAAACATCATCTGTCTCGCTGAGATATGTTACGTAGGGCAATCTTTGGCGTTTCATAAACACACTCATTTCACTTTGCTAGTGCATTATTAGATTGGCATAATTTAGCACGTGGAAGAGACCTACCAGATGTAACTCTTCAGCGGTGAGCCTGTTTAGCAGCTGCTGAAATAATGTCCTTTGAGTTGATTTACTCTCGTCTGGACCCTGGAGCATCCAGCTATCAGTGCCCAAAGTGTCACTCATTGGGAGGGACCACTGAGTGACGGTGCCTTTTAGAAAAATTCTGACCGGCTTCTGAAAATGTCTCTGATGCATGGTTAAGGGCTCCAGGGTGACGGTCCATGTTTCTTGAATCTCTTTTCCTGTTAGAAATAAAGAATATTAACATAAATACTTACTGAAAATAGGTTTAATAAAATAGTAAGAAGAACATTAGATCGTCAGTTAAGGTACCAGTACTGTCACTTAGTTCACTTCGACCCTGACTCTACAGGCCATCACAGCAAGCTCATGTAGTTCTACAGGAAGGGAATTATGAGGGCACGACCTGTGCCAGAACTTAATAACTACGATTTAGAAAGAAATATCCATGGAAGCTAAGCAGGGTCAGGCCTGGTTAGTACTTGGATGGGAGACCACCTAGGAATACCAGGTGCTGTAGGCATTAAAAAAAAAATATCCAAGCGATAGTCACTGCTTACCAAAAATAAGACAACGCTTCTTAAATCCATAAAATACAGTGCATAGCATATCTTACGAAGTTAAATTCTAAAGACGAAATTGCTTGAACAAAACTACTCTTAAAATTTCCATATATTACACATACTATATAACAGTTTTATGTATGTATCTCTTCTGTATGAATACACATAATGATTCAGAATATACAGAGTGAATACCATGACAAAACAAATTTAAGAAGATTCCAGGATGCTGGCTCTTCCTGGTAATAAGTATCATTTTCAGCTTCTTTTGATTAATTTGTTATCAATGATAATCTCTCTATGGTCTTCAATTTATCAATCTCTTCTACAAGGCAATGAAATCTTACCACCCATTTACCTGGGCACCTGAACAATATTATCTTTCTTTGCCAACAGCTGGGAAACTCTTTGAAATCATTCGCTTGTTCTTTTTGTACATGGGCTGGCAGCTATACTATACCAGAGTTCGATCCTTTCCTGTAGTACCTATGATTTTGCTTAGACATCTTTTAAGTGTGAATCGAGAGCCTGGACTGCTGGAAATTCTAAAGAAAATGAAAGTATGGCCCGCCCTTGAAGAAAGAAATGCAACTGAGACTAAAAAATAAACCCCGAATAATATTTGCTTACCTTCGACAGGGAGAAATAACGTTCCTTCCATTCGTGGAAATGAGGCTTCATACTCAGGCGAATTATAGAGCAGACGGTTTAAAGTGGAATCGGTTGGCATAATTGAAATCCACGAAGAGAAGCGAGGTTCACTTGACAGCTTTTTGTCACTGCCAAGCAGTGTTTCCCCAGCTTTAATACAATGCTGGCTGAAAGTTTCAGATGGCAAGATAGTGCCTCCTACGTGGTAGAGCAGTTCGTATACTGTCCAGTACCCAAGGTGGTCTGGGGATTCCCAAAGCTAAAATAAAATTACAAAAAACCTCAAGTTGTTATAAATTAGGCATTCATAAATAAAGCTAAGGGAAATCGGGAGAAAGTAAAGTTGATAACTCTACTAAAGAATCAAACCACACAATTAATACATTCGTTGAACCTAACCCAAATAATGGCCAGCATCCTGTTACTCTACAGCCCAAGAATATAATTACTACATAATATGCTTTCAAGAAAGTGTCCATTTACTGAAAACAGCACTTCAATTTTACTTCCTATCCAGGAAAAGAAGTGATGCAAATCACTGGGGATAAATCATAAAATTTGAAGAGTCAGAAGAAATACAAA